CTTCAATAGATGTTTATGGCACTTGTCAACGTCTTCTTTGGGTCCTCTGATTTTCACTATATCTCCTTTTTCGCCTAAAAAAAATCGATCAACTGATAAAAAAATCTAGTCAATATTACGACTTTATTACAAATGCTTTATCACGACATTGCGAGGTAACGGAGTATGAAATAATAAATGTCGTTTACCTGGTCCAGGAATAGTAATTTGTACTTGGTTAAATTTATCCCTAATCTCTTTGATATTATCTCCTTTATTACCAATTATGTTACGATAATGTCTGTGATCTATAATCACATCCTTTTCCTTCTCGTTTTCTAACTTTTTTACCATTTCTACGAGTTCCTATATTATTTATAAGATAAAAGCATTAGTTTTTTTCCCCCATTTATTTAAACAATACTTGCTGCTAGATAAAAATATAATATACATACCGTTTGAGCTTTCAATACCCCAGCAAGATTACCTTCAATGCGGATAACATTACTGCCATCATTTTCAGAGATACTAATAACTACACCCGTTCCTTCCTTAACACGATTCACTTTAATAAAAACAGAATGAATTTAATGTAAACTTAAACATTCTTTTCTCTGTTATACCGAAAATGAAAATACGTGCAAATATTAAACTGCTTACCATTACAACCATTCTTCCCAATGATATGCTTGTAAAATCTTGGGTCAACATTTAATTCCGCGAAAGTAAGTTTTGCTATAAGATCATTAGCCATGAGCTGTAACTCATTTTGCGCTTTCTCTACTTCTTCAGGTGGACCTTCTATCTTGATTTTATCTTCTTTTCCCGTAAATTCGACGTTTACTTTTGGCATTTCTTGAGTAATTTTCTTGATATTTACACCTTTGCGTCCAATGATGTATTTATGTATCCATACCGGAGCTTCCACCACGGCAGTGCGAACACTGTTTGCTTTTTCATATACTTTGTTAAGTGCTATACATAAATAAATATATAATAAATTAATGTTACCTAAAGATACAGTACTTAAAGAATATAATTAGTAACATTTAATTTTTAAATCACTTACCCTGACCAAGCTTCTCCTGCGGTCCTCTAAGAGTTATGGTACCAGTTGCTGAATCAGATGCAGGCATTTCTACGCTCACTCCAGTTGTTTGTAATATTTCTGCTATGGTACTACCACGAGGTCCAATTACATACTTATGTTGAGATTTAGGAACTTCTACAGATACCGTAGTACATCTTTTCTCCTGGATTAAAAATTTACATATTACATACGCGTACTAATAAAATTAGGAAAAAAATAGTCTTATTAACCTACCATATCCTTGTAGATGCTCTCAATCTTTTGCTTTGCAGCCAAGACTCCTTCCTTCTCACCAGCTATGGTTATTTCATCCTGCTGCACCGATGCAGGAGGAATATTGATGCGAGCACCAGTTTCTGCCATCATAGCATTGAGATTTTCGTTATGCGCACCATATATGAACGGATGATATATTTTTGGCACAGTTATTCTTTCAAAAGCTTTCCTAGACTGCAACATTTATGACAAAACATGTTGTTGTAGGATTGTATATACCATAAATGGATTATCTAAACAAGCACAATTATGTATTTATGTATGTTACGGTGATTTTTTATTATAATTATTTTTAAAAGTTACCTGCTCATCAGAAATAACTCTAATTTCGTGTTCAGCCTTTTCAATTCCTTCCTTTGTACCTGTAATTGTTATTATATCTGATTGATCTTGCACGCTAGGTACATTAATCTTGGTAGCGGTTTTCTGCTCAAGATCTTTCAGTCTCTGCCCTTGCTTTCCAAGAATCCAACGATGATGATCCTTAGGGATACTAATCTGTTTGCTTGCCTATAAAAAAAGAAATTAATATAAATACAAAGTAATTTATGTTTTGAAATACAAGATGTACCAAATAATTTTAAATACTGAAGACATATTCTCTGTCTTATACAAATAAATACAAAATATAAATTATTGTAAACTAATGAGTTATGGACTTATGTATAATGTATCTCTTTTAGTAGGAATACCTGAGTTTGAAACGTTGTCAAAATGCGCCGTTTGGCTTCCAGAACCTGATTTTGCTTTCCAGTTATAAGAAACGTCAAAGATTGATCCTTAGATGACGCAATTTCAATAATAGTGTTCGTTTCTTTCATGATGGTTTTACATGTACGAATAGATTCACGTTCGCCAAATTTATCACTATGATCAAATTTGCGTTCTTCCCCTGGCACACGGAACATCTACATGGTAATAGAAAAATATGTTAAGAAATAAGTACCTTTAGAATAGTTTTTCGCAGCGCATAGTAAAATGTAATTCTAATATTTCTTTATACGGAGCTACAAATCCACGTGTATACTTGTACGTATTAAATTTAAAAAAAATATTGCAAAATCTCTAAATTAACCAAGATTCTTGCAAAATCAATAAATTTTTATAAACTCTTTACCTGTGTAATAGTAATACGACCAAGTTGTAAGCTGTTGTTTATAGAAAATATGTTTAATTGTCCAGAGTTGGAACTAGATGATTCAGGGAGAACGGGGAATGTCTCGTCGTAAGTAGGTGGCTCGTAGGCCATTCCCTCTTCCATTACTGCGTGCTGCTGCATTTTTCGGATGTCCTATTTCGTGCCAAGTCCTTACAGTAGCACTGTAATGCAAATCAAAAATATTCCACCTTTTTAATAATATCTTAATAAATATATCTTAATCATTAGTAAAAATAAATAATATGACAATGTCAATAATAATACGAGGATTAATAAACGTAACAAAACACATATTTATATTTTAATATACACATGTGCTATATTCGTAAATACAAACGCGCAATCATTTATATAAAAATTGATTTTTATTTCAGTTTTATATTATTTCCACTTATTTCGCGCGACACGTACGTAGCTTTAATTTTGCGACAAACGAGGAAAAGATTAATTATCACTGGCGGGACGTCGATAGTTATATCGAAGATAAATTTTCTCCCGGATAACCCGAATAATCGCGAGGGGATTATTGTCCGAGCATTTTCACGAAGGTCGATCGAATCGCGATGGGATTTCGCACGTAACATTTTTTTCCCCTCTTTCGTACGATTTTTTCGTCGCGGAACAAATTCTTCCGTACCGCGAGATGGTTCCGGGCTTTAGCGGAGAAAACGGATCGCGCGATCACATGCCGCGAGTAGCCGCGGAGACGATATTTTTTTCCAAAGCCGACGGAATTTCACGACTCGGGGGAGCGTCGTGACCGAGGATCGACAAGCAGATGCGGGGATGCGGGCTAAGTGCACGTCAATGACCAATGGCTGAGACAGTGACCACCATATGGAGCGTTAACTTGACACGTCACGAGATCGCTAACCTCTCGCCTCTCGCGTCGCGGCCAACATCAGCAGGTTGTGGCGACCCGCGACGAGAAGAAACGATCGCAGAGAGAAACGGAGGGACGTCGAGAAACGACGGGCGACGGGACGGGACGGGTCCGGAGTCCGGGACGGCGCGAGGGCGATCGACGGGACCGCGTGGCGGATCAGGCGAGTGGCGAATGTGGCGATGCCGGAAAAGGAAAAAGGAGGAAAATGGAAAGGCAGGCAGGAACGCACGCACGTTTCCCCGCATAACACAGACAGCGAGACAACAGTTGTAAAGAGGTTGCTACTTACTCTACCGTAATAAAGAAATCCGGCCAAGTAATAAGCGCGTATTACGTAGCCAGTTTAACGGTGATTTGCCTGAAACAGTACAACGTAGGTTACGAGGAGTGAGCGGCGCACTTCGGATTACCACGAGATCTAATTAAATTAACGTGGAGCGGAATTATCGCTCCATTACCACGAGACTCACGACTCTCCTTACCGGTAACGCAAAGTGAAATGAGACGGAGGGGCCTCGGACCCTCGGCCTCGGACGGCAGAAGTCACCAGTCACCAGCCACCACCACCGCGCGATCCGGGAAATACGCAAATACGATAGGTTTGCGTCACAACGGGACGCCAATGTCGCGGTCGCAAATTACCACGTGCGATCGCGCACACAACTGGACAGTGGACACTGGACCGATTGGACGTCGTCGCCGTCGTCGGTCGTTGTCACGCAATTGGATATCGCGGATACCCGGTGCTTTCCAATAAGAACGCGCGCGCACATACATGCAACGCCACACGATTGGCTACTGACTAGGAAAACTTTCGCCTGAAGTCGGGACTTTAGGCCTAAAGTCAATCGTGTGACGTACCCTGTACACCCCCTAGAATCGGCTGCTTCCACCTGCTTTCACCCGAGGGCTCGAGGCGACTGGCCCGAGTCACCCGAGTGTCTGCGAGTGTCGCAGCTCCTGTCACCACTGCTGTCAGCGGGGTTCCGTTTGACAGATTGGCTTCCACTTCTCAATTTTGTTTCTTTCTAAACAGCCGGACTCCGGAGCCAAGCTTCCACACCGTCCACACTTCCACATTTCGCTCTCCGTCAGATAGTCAGGCGGAGTCGACGCGACGATTTTGTACGGATTATGCGAACCCGTCGATCAACACTGCGACGAAAGACAGAAGACGGAATAGACGGACACCTGCTGGCCGAATCAACCCCGAATGATTTAATAATGCGGCCGTCCCGTATGCAGATGACATGACATTCGTGCGCACAGTGATGAGGACCTGCGATACTAATTGCCGCGTGCCATTAGCGAAAGTGAAAAATGTTCGTCAGAGATCCCTGTGGCATCGTATGCATTATCGTCACCTATATGGCGGTATTTTACGCTGACTACGTCGTGGTACACGCGATCGTGTTGCACACTATGCAAGACAGGTTGGCATAACGTTGAAATATTTATTTATGGCAAAAATCATTACAAACACTCTCAGATCTCGTCGAATTTTTCACACTTTACGTCGCTTACTCGCACACTTACTCGCGCATCTCTTTCTTTATAGCCTTCTTAATTTACTATTTACTATAATCTTTGGTGAGAAATATTTTTAGCAACGTTACTTTTTTGTTATCACAATAAGAATACCCCACGAACATTTACACTTTTGTCTCAAGTATGTGGAAAGAGTCATCCGATACTTTGGCTGCTACCTTGCCACAATCCGCCGCGTTACTCCAGAAAGGACGCGTAAAGATTCTAATATTTCCAGAAAACTTCTGCGTCCTTTGTTAAACCGTAACGTTCATACCTCTAACAAAAGAGAAGAATTATATAAAAATTGACTGCCTAAATAGCATCTGGATGTACAATACTTATTACATTCATGCAGTCTACCTTTTTGATGTTGACACCATTCTTTCCAATGAGATATTTATGACGTTCAACTTTGGGACACACTTCAGTTGAGAATCTAGCCAATTGCTTTTCATTGCTTAGTTCTAAAAGCTGCGCTTTTGCTTTCTCTACATCGTCCTTTGGACCTCTGATACTGACCTATATATGTGCATATGTATTTATTAGTAACAATTTCAAATTTGATTAAAGAATGATTATCTTTTTTTCTCTTTTACCTTGTTGCTTTTACTTTTAGGGAAATTAATCGTGACGTCTCCACAATCTTCTATAATAGAATGTATCATATTACCTCCCGTACCAATAAGCGAACCGTAAAATTTTCGTGGAATAGGTACTTCCAATACATGATTACTTTCGTTCAATTTTTTTACCAACTTCAATAGATGTTTATGGCACTTGTCAACGTCTTCTTTGGGTCCTCTGATTTTCACTATATCTCCTTTGTCGCCTATAAAAAAATCGATCAACTGATAAAAAAACGTAGTAAATATTACGACTTTGTTACAAATGCTTTATTACGACATTGTGAGGTAACGGAGTATGAAATAATAAATGTCGTTTACCTGGTCCAGGAATAATAATTTGTACTTGATTAAATTTATCCCTAATCTCTTTGATATTATCTCCTTTATTACCAATTATGTTACGATAATATATGTGATCTATAAACACATCGATCGATACATCCTTTTTCTTCTCGTTTTCTACCAACTTTTTTACCATTTCTACGAGTTCCTATATTATTTATAAGACAAAAGCATTAGTTTTTTTTCCTATTTATTTATACAATACTTGCTGCTAAATAAAAATATAATATACATACCGTTTGAGCTTTCAATACCTCAGCAAGATTACCTTCAATGCGGATAACATTACTGCCATCATTTTCAGAGATACTAATCACTACACCCGTTCCTTCCTTAACACGATTCACTTTAATAAAAACAGAATAAATTTAATGTAAACTTAAACATTCTTTTCTCTGTTATACCGAAAATGAAAATAATTGGAAATATTAAACTGCTTACCATCACGACCATTCTTCCTAATAATATGCTTGTTAAATCTTGGATCAACATTTAATTCCGTGAAAGTAAGTTTTGCTATAAGATCATTGGCCATAAGCTGTAACTCATTTTGGGCTTTCTCTACTTCTTCAGGTGGACCTTCTATCTTGATTTCATCTTCTTTTCCCGTACATTTGACGTTTACTTTTGGCATTTCTTGAGTAATTTTCTTGATATTTACACCTTTGCGTCCAAGGATGTATTTATGTATCCATGCCGGAGCTTCCACCATGGCAGTGCGAACACTGTTTGCTTTTTCATATACCTTGTTAAGTGCTATATATAAATAAATATATAATAATTAATGTTACCTAAAGATACAGTACTTAAAGAATATAATTAGTAACATTTAATTTTTAAATCACTTACCCTGATCAAGCTTCTCCTGCGGTCCTCTAAGAGTTATGGTACCAGTTGCTGAATCAGATGCAGGCATTTCTACGCTCACTCCAGTTGTTTGTAATATTTCTGCTATGGTACTACCACGAGGTCCAATTACATACTTATGTTGAGATTTGGGAACTTCTACAGATACCGTAGTACATCTTTTCTTCTGTATTAAAAATTTACATATTACATACGCGTATTAATAAAATTAGATAAAAAATAATCTTATTAACCTACCATGTCCTTGTAGATGCTCTTAATCTTTTGCTTTGCAGCCAAGACTCCTTCCTTCTCACCGGCTATGGTTATTTCATCCTGCTGCACTAATACAGGAGGAATATTGATGCGAGCACCAGTTTCTGCCATCATAGCATTGAGATTTTCATGATGCGCACCATATATAAACGGATGATATATTTTTGGCACAGTTATCCTTTCAAAAGCTTTTCTAGACTGCAACATTTATGCCAAAACATGTTGTAGGATTGTATATAAATGTATTATCTAAACAAGCACAATTATGTTAAAAGTTACCTTCGCATCAGAAATAACTCTAATTTCGTGTTCAGCCTTTTCAATTCTTTTCTTTGTACCTGTAATTGTTATTATATCTGATTGATCTTGCCTTCTAGGTACAGTAATCTTGGTAGCAGTTTTCTGCTGAAGATCTTTCAGTCTCTGACCTTGCTTGCCAAGAATCCAACCATGATGATCCTTAGGGATACTAATCTGCTTGCTTGCCTATAAAACAAATTAATATAAATACAAAATAATTTATGTTTTGAAATACAAGATGTAGTGAATAATTTTAAATACTGAAGACATATTCTCTATCTGCTTCCACCAGTCACCACCACCGCGATCCGGGAAATACCAAAATACACAAATACGATAGGTTTGCGCGGGACGCCAATGTCGCGGTCGCAAATTAACACGTGCGATCGCTGATCGCGCACACAACTGCGATTGGACGTCGTCGGTCGTTGTCACCCAATTGGATATCGCGGATACCCGGTGCTTTCCAATGAGAACGCGCGCACACACATGCAACGCCACACGATTGGCTATTGACTAGAGGAAAACTTTCGCCTAAAGTTGGGACTAAAGTCAACCATGTGATGTATGTACCCCGCGCAATCCCCTAGAATCGGCTGCTTTCAGCTTTCACCTGCTTTCACCAGAGGCTTGCAGAGTCTCGAGTCTCGACTGGCCCGAGTGTCTGCGAAGTGTCGCAGGACGCAGCTCCTGTCATCACCGCTGTCAGCGGGGTTCCGTTTGACAGATTGGCTTCCACTTCTCAATTTTGTTTCTTTCTAAACAGCCAGACTCCGGAGCCAAGCTTCCACACGGTCCACACACCGTCCACACTTCCACATCTCGCTTTCCATCAGATGGTCAGACTCGTCAGGCGTAGTCGACGCGACGATTTTGTACGGATTATGCGTTAACCCGTCGATCGACACTGCGACGGAAGACAGAAGACGGAACAGACGGATACCTGCTGGCCGAATCAACCCCGAACGATTTAATAATGCGGCCGTCCCATATGCAGATGACATGACATTTGTGCGCACAGTGATGAGGACCTGCGATACCAATCGCCGCGTGCCGTTAGCGAAAGCGAAAAATGTTCGTCAGAGATCCCTGTGGCATCGTATGCATTATCGTCACCTATATGGCGGTATTTTACGCTGACTACGTCGTGGTACGATGGATCGTGTTGCACACTATGCAAGACAGGTTGGCATAACGTTGGAATATTTGTTTATGACAAAAATCATTATAAACACTCTCAGATCTCGTTGAATTTTTCACACTTTACGTCGCTTACTCGCATACTACTCGCGCATCTCTTTATAGCCTTCTTAATTTACTATAATTTACTATAATCTTTGGTGAGAAATATTTTTAGCAACGTTTACTTTTTTATTTGCAGCCTATGGTGTCCTTTCCATATAATAGCGTTTAACACTGTTGTACTTCTTCTAATGATGGCACATTTGAAAGCCGTCTGCAGCGATCCAGGCATAGTACCCTTACCGCAAAGTAGAATGGATTTTTCCGATATTCATGTCTCTGGGGGAAGCGACGACCACGAGAGTGACGAGAAAGACGATTGGACAGTGTGCACTAGGTGCGAAACGTATAGACCACCTAGAGCTCATCATTGCAGAATTTGTAAACGTTGTATCAGAAGAATGGATCATCATTGTCCATGGTAACTATGAGTTGCGATGAGTTTGTGAAAGACAATAGCGACTGTAAAAATTAATATAACTAGTTTTTAAAAAATTAATCTCATAAAAAATGATTGACATACAAAATGATTTTGAATTTATTAAAGACTCGCAACTGAATAATGTTTAAGGATCAATAACTGCGTCGGCGAGAGGAATCAAAAGTACTTCATACAATTTCTGGTATACGTTGGTGCGTTAGCTATCTATGCTATTATTTTAGTCATTACGTCTTGGCTCTATGACTGCCCACAGTGCAATAACGATATTGCAGTCAAACAAAATCGCATGTATGTATTTGCATTCTTATGGGAAATTTACGACGACTGGAACACTAATATTGAGATTGTTTTGCAGTTTACATTGTGTGATATTAGTTTTGGAGTCGGCATTATTTGGTATGTTCGTCGTAGCGATTCTAGTTGATCAGTTCCAAGCGATACTAGGCGATGAAACTGCTGTGGAGCGCGTGCAAGGTATCCAACAACGTTATCACAATAAGAATACCCCACGAACATTTACACTTTTGTCTCAAGTATGCGGAAAGAGTCATCCGATACTTTGGCTGCTACCTTGCCACAATCCGCCGCGTTACTCTTTCAGAAAGGACGCGTATTTAATCGATCACGAAGTTTGAGATTATATACAAAACGAGTGTGTTATGTGTCTGCACAAAGTGGTATTTCTTTTTTTATATTTATTTTTTTACATACAGTATATTAGAGTAATTCATTCCTTGGATCAGTACCTTAATACATCTTTGTACGAATTATTGACATAGTATAGATTTGAGACTTGTAGCTATAACGTTTCTACAGCGTGTGTGGAAATAAAATAATAATATATAAACACTCATTCTTATTATATACACACATTAAGATGATTAATATATATTATAAATATATTATTCATTATCATCATATACATAAGCCTGTATTTATTTTAACTATGAACAAACAATAGCTTTAATTAATATGTGTTATTGCTTATGTTGAAACATGCGTGATAACAGTATATACATGGAAATGTAATCGACATTACGTTAATAAATTAATTTTTTATCTTTTAAAGTTACAGTATATAAGAATAAGTGATACTCCAAGTGATACAAGTAAATAGTAATTCTTTAATTTAAGATAATTATTGCTAGGAACTGTATCCTCGCCTAATAAATTTATTCGCTGCAAGGATTGTATTGTAGTATAATAGAAAATAAAATTGTTAATATAATTTCAAAAATTGAAGCTTTATTATTAAGTAATTAATACGTATTTTTTAAATAATAATTTTTTTATATATACTTTATCGTATTTTTGCACGTTTGTTTTATTAATTATTAAGTGAAGTTAATAAATTGATATTTTTGTTTTGAAGAATAATCTAATATGTATGAATCAATAATTATTTTTCAAATAATATAATATATTTTGATTAATTTTATTGGTATCAAATTTCTTTTATTCTTATGCGTGTTTTGTCAATTTATATACACTGGGCTTTAATTGTTAATAAGGACTGCCAACCTTTCAAGATTCTAGTTATATTTCTAGCCATATTGGCAACTTCTGTCAGTAATATTATTTTGGAGTAATTCTAACCTATGATTTTAATCAGAAAATTTTTCTTTTCATTATATATCGCTTGTACGAAATGTTAAATTGATAACATTACAATCTTATATTGTTGTCAGTTTGTGTTATATTGCTATAAAATCGTTCGTAACCTGTCACTAATCTCAATTTTCATATGAAATCGAAATTATATATAATATATAATAGTTCCGTACAATATAAACAAATGCTCACACTTTATTTAAAATATTAAATAATCAAAACATTATGAGTAACAGTATGAAAATTGCAATTTTAAAAACGGTATTTTTTTACAATAAAACGTTTATGATGAGAATTATTTGAGATTTATTTTTCTGTCATTGCTCATCTTATTTTTATTCTTGTTTTCAGGTTACAGAGTGTTTACGAAACAACAATGTAAACGTGTCCAGCATTGGATCTTATTTGCATTTGAAATCACATAAAACAGAAGGAATCTACTCTTTCCAGCTTCCATTAAAAACTAGACAATACAATATACAGAATGAAGTACAGAATATTAGAAATAATGATCGAAATGGTATTTTTGACATCAGTATACAGAACGATACAATCTTTTTCAATGTTTCCAGAGATATATGTGTTAAGGAAGTTTTGGAACATAACTGTTCAACAGTATCGCCTCCCAATTTCATAAATAATAAAAAAACTATAATAGTGGAGTTTAGTTCGCCCAATATTGCAAAACCTTTTCACGTAGGACATTTGAGATCTACAATAATAGGAAATTACGTTGCTAATATCAACAGCTTTGTAAAAAATAATGTAAAACGAATAAACTACTTGGGTGACTGGGGTACGCAATATGGTTTAATTCAATTGGGAATCAATATGGCAGATATTAATGAAGATGAAATGAGAAGAAATCCTATAAAAGCCTTATATACAGCATATATTACTGCCAACAAATTGGCTGAAACCGATTTCTCGATATTGGATCGTGCGAGAAAAATATTTAATGATTTGGAAAATGGCACGGGAGTCACATATGAACAGTGGATAGCGTTTAAACAGTACACTGTTGAGGAATTAACAAAGGTTTATGGTAGAATTGGTATTACATTCGACGAATATCATTGGGAATCTATGTACAATGCTAAAAATATAGAGAAAATTATTACGTTGATGGAGAAAATGCAGTTATTGCTAAGGGATGAACAGAATAGAAAAGTTGTGAATTTGGACAATGAGAAGAGCGTACCTATAATCAAGAGCGATGGTTCCACTTTGTACATAGCTAGAGATATTGCTGCAGCTATTGATAGATTTGAAAAGAATAACTTTGACTGCATGTACTATGTGGTGGATAATACACAAGCCAGTCATTTCTCAAATTTGTTAGAAATATTAAAACGATTGCAAATGCCGTGGGCTGAAAGACTGAAACATGTAAAATTTGGCCGATTGCACGGTATGCGTACAAGAAAGGGTAATATGGTGTTTTTAGAAGATATCTTGGACATTACCAGAGATATCATGAAGCAGAAACAAATCGATTCGCATAGTATGCTAATTTTAACATTATTTTAATTATGTAACGTTTAATTTTGTATAGGATTAATTGTAACAGAGAAACTTTTTCAGCCACTAAAGTTCGTCTAGATTCATTTGATAAAAGCTCGGATATATTGGGCATTTCTGCAATGATAGTTAATGACTTAAAGAGAAAACGACAACGAGACTATACATTCGATTGGAATACAGCATTTGATGTAAGCAATCTACATATCGTAAAAGAATTATAGAATCTTATGTAATGTATTAATTAGTTTCTCCTAATTTTTTTTATTGTAAGATCAGTTGAAAGGGGACACTGGCGTGAAGTTGCAATACACACATTGTCGACTCGTCAGCTTGGAACGCACGTGCGGCGCTGTTCTAACTTTGGAATGTGAACCAAGTCTATTACAAGAAGATATCGTTGATGATTTAGTCGTATTAATTGCTAAGTTCGAAGAAGTAGTACTGAAATCATACGAAGAATTAGAACCCTGTATATTAACAGCATATCTTTTCAATTTAAGGTAAGATGTAAATTCTAAGATTCAAACATTTTCTACAATTATCTAATTGAAGTATATACGGTTTCTCTTTCTTTTTTAGTAATGCAATTAATAAAGCTTTCAGTTTGTTGAAAGTAAAGGATGAACTGCCTGATCTTGCTAGTCAAAGACTGCTACTATTTCACGTTGCTAGAAACGTTCTTGCACAAGGTATGAAATTACTTGGTCTAATACCTCTGGAAGAGATGTGAAGACAAGTGGCCGTGGAATCCTAAAGAAGATTCGAAACTCTAGCATTTATTTGTCAAATTGATCATATTGATCTGTCAATCTTGGTGAGACTTTAATCAGAAAGAAACTATACATCTACTTTCTTTATTCGATATCAGATAACTAGCTTTATTTTTTTAAACAAATTTTATTACCTATACAACGAGATATTCGATTTTTTCATACGAGTATAATTTTATTATTTGCAATGTGAAAATTACACGATAATAAGCAAAATTAACGTTTGTTCCAAGTGAACTTTCTTCTGGCACCTTCTTGTCCCCACTTCTTTCTCTCGCGCCTTCTCCAGTCCCTTGTTAGAAGCCCAGCTGTTTAAAAATAACAGTAATTTTTTAATGATTTGCCATATGTTTAATTCGCATTAATAAACAATTCGCGAACGTAAATTATGTCATATTTGACACAACGATATTTTGCTAAATCGATTGCTCCTTACCAACTCGCATTCTTTCGACCATTGCTTTGTCAACAAAGCTACGTAAGCCCCATGCAACGCCCCAACGTATAGCACCCGACTGACCAGTAGGCCCCCCACCATTAACTGTGGCTTCGATATCCACTTTATCAGTCATGTTCGTAAAAAGTAATGGAAATATAATCTGTAACAGATAAATATATATAAGAAGCATGAGAAACAACTTTGTGAATTCTGAAGCGACCATATACTAATATGATGAGCAATTGCTGAAAGTCAATATTGGAAAAGTCGATTTAAATATTAGATTCCGAGACATCGTCGATACTTTCTTGATAAGGTAAAATTGAACAAAAAATATTGCTTTATCGATAGAAATTAGCTACAGTTACGCAATTGTCTTTTACTTGTGGACGTCTATTTACAATATAAGAAAATATAATATGAATCACATAATGCGAATTGTCGGTTGAAATATCAAATTGTACCGATATCAATTGTCCAAATCACAACGAGGTACGTTCTTCTTTCGTCAATGTTGTTGCGACATTTTCCAGCATCTTATTCATTCCTAGCAGCTGTACTCTCAGCAATTTTATAGCATCTTCATTCACTTTCATCATAGTGATCAGTTTCTCGAACGTCATTTGTAGGGCGACATCGGAGAACTCGTTCTTCTGTCGTTGTTTCAGCCAAACAGCGTGATCGCTCAAATTGATGTCGTCATTCATAGACGAAGGAATATTTTTCTGTGCTATCTCATAAGCGGCTTTCATTATGTCTTTAGGCAATCGCTTCTCGAGAGGATTAAGCGGTTTTACCACGAGAACCCGTTTTCTATTTTCAACATCGATCTTGTGATCCGACATCCACTTCCGGAAGGCGTACGGGATGGTAGTGTTGTGCAGCACCATTTCCGTAAAGAGGATCATTTTTGTCTGCCTTACCAACTTCGTGAGCCCCGCATGATTCCTCAGACCTTGTATATCGTGTACGGCGATACCGACCAGCAAGTTCATCAGAATCACAGTGACGAATACTATGAATAGCGTGAAGAGAATCTGCGAACACACTGACAGGGGATGATAAATGACGAAAGAGCTGCCCGTCGATTCGTTATCCACTTGATTGATGAGTCCTTCGAAGTCCAATTCACCGGCCATCATAGCCAAGACTTTGATTAGCCCAGTGAAAGGATTACCGAATGCGGGCTCGCCGGCGAATATCACGCAGAAGCTGATGGTGAAACCGATGAGTAGGCCGGAATACGCTAGCAGAAGCTTGGCGAACTCGAACTGGATGTGCGTGAACATGGCGACGTAGGTGCCGAAGGCCGGTAACTGGCCCACCATTAGCATCAGATTGGTCCAGGCGCAAAGTATGGCAAACGCACCGACGTAATTCTGCCAATCGTAAGTACGCCCGGTATACACGAAGGACGTAACGAATACGCTCACGATCACCAC